AATAAAATATCGTAAGTGTCAGAATAATAATAATTTTCAGAATGATGACGATAGTAATCCTAATCATAACAATATCACCAATAAAAATAACACCAATACCATAAGTTTAATAACAATAACATTAATAAGTATATCGAGAGAATTACTGATGATTGATCGAATAAATGTCAATCAAACAAAATGTCTATAACAAAATCGAATCCATAATACAGGATCCAACGCATTCTTGCTATACTCAATGCATGATGTTTACTATTAACAGACAGATTGATCTCCCTTCTTAAATTGCATATTGCTATTGTCAACTGTTTAGCTGAACGATTGAACGGAGGAATATTCATTTCATTTATGATTCTGTCGCTTTCTGTCGAGATATTATTATAATATTCATTCGGCACGCTAATGACGGTAATGACGGCAAATAAACCAATAAAGGGATACAGAAACTAATTGAAAACTGATGAAAGACAAGTCGATGGGAAGGAGATAAGTTATAATTGTTTCACTTCAATTATAGCATAAATTATGCATGATCATCAAACGTTGATCAGCAACAACAATTAATAGGGATTGAGCAATAGGGTAGCACTGCTAACAAATTAACATTTGATATTAACTTCGCTCGCTATCAGATCAACTCTTTTGCAAATTCAAGTGCGGATAACAGATTTCACGTGATGAATGATGCTTCGATTTCCGTTTTCTATTTTCATTTCAACGTAAAAGCTCTGAATCTTTGAAATACTGGATTAAGTAGATATTTCTAAGTACGACTCCATACTAAATCTCACTCTTGATTTGCGGACAGTACATTTCAGAAATTGGATGTTATGAAACGGATTTGCAGACCAACCAAATGCTAAGATAACTTTCAGTGACGATATGCATATTAAGCTGAGATAAAATCACAAGATTTAAAGGCAAGTTAGCAAATTTCATTGAAATCACATAACTGGTTTCAAACAGACCTTAAGACTTCGTGCCACACGCACACGTCGGACATAGCCAAACTGTTTGAAGTACTTGAAGAGTTCCTCCTCAAAGAATCCGAACGGTAGATGACTAATCTTGATCACCTTCGATCGTCCTTCTGGATCTTTTGAGGCCTTGGATGATCCGCGACTTTTGGAATGCAACTTCGGTCTTCTTTTCAGCGCTTTCGGAGTTTCCGATGAGGATCCTTCCCCTTCCGCGGTCTCGGTTTCCATTTTCACGTCTTTATCAACTTCTTCCATTTTCAAATCGCTTTCATCCATTTTCGCGTGAATTTATACCTGCAATTAGGTGAGAATTGTGTGTGTGCATTCAACTCATATAAGAAACATCGATAACTATTTAAAACTGCTACAATTCATTGCTAATTTCACATATCACCACATACTGACAATGGGATAGAAGTGCCAGAGACTACTTCAATATTAAAACAGCCAAATTGTCAGAAGTATTTGACAATGTTTAATTACAATTTTTATTTACAATAGCCAAACTGTCAATGTTTAATTACAATTATTTAAACTTGAACTCAATTCTTATGTATTTCATAGGAAACGCCTGATGCAGTTTCATTGATTTCAAAAAATATTCACTAAAAACTAATCGTTTATGCTCCAGAAACTCACTTAAATCTTATAGGAACTCATTTAGATTCCTTTTCATGCAAAAGTTTATTTCTGATCTCAGAGTACTCATTGTCAGCAGTTAAATTTTCTCAATTCCGAATGAAATTCCATGCATTCTATAAAGATAA